TCTGCCCCCACTGCCATACCTCCCTCGCCCCTCCACGGTAGCAATCCCAAGCCTCATAGTAGCCTCCATTGATGGCAATTAATGTTATTCTTTCACAGCCTAAAACAATAAAACCTTAAAACAATATAAACAAAAAACAAAAACAACCCAGAAAACCATAAAACAATACAAATAAAAACTGCAAAAATTACAAATTCATCAAAATCTAACAAATTCCCAAGCCCACCCAAACATCCATCCCACCCCCATATATAAAAAATCTAAAGGGAAAGGAAAATTTTAAAACAATGGAAACAATTCCACAGAAAGCCCAGTTTTGCCCAGTGAGCAAATGTCAGCCTGGGTTTTCTGCGGAAATGTTTCCATTGGTAAAGAGCGTGTTTCTGTGGGGAGGAGTCCTAAAAGAAGGGGAAAGGCTGCAGGGTGCAGATGCGGGGGGGGGGGCTGACGGGGGGAACTCTGCTCTGTTCAGCCCAAGCAAATCTGACTTGATGGGTAGCAAAGGGACAGTCTCTCTTCCACTTACCGTCCAAAATCCGTACCATCAACCCATTTCCAAGAGCCCCAGCTTGTTTTAAGTCCAATCCAGTATTGAGTTCTCTAGGAGAAAGAATAAAATATTAACAGGGAAAGACCTCCTTCCCAATGGATTTCTCCTTCCTCCCTTTTTAAGAGGCTCATATATGCAGAACCAATACAGTTACTAATAGTCCTCAGGACACCCATCCCAGAATCCTCCACAACACCCCTTCCCAGCTCTGGGACTGGAGAGTTGGCTGATCTTATCTCCAGCCAAGGTCTACTGTTGCATCTCTGAGCCCCAATCTCTGAGCGGTGTGAGATCCCAAGGGTTCCAGGCGCTCACCCGGGCTTTGTGTCTCCTTTTGGAAATGAGGCACAGAGGAGACTGTGGTGTCTTTATGACATATGGTCTATTTGCAGTGCACATTTATGCAACCTGAGCCTGTGATGGAGGGGTTCACAGCACCAACACCCCCAAAGTGTCTTGTTTCTCACCACAGCTGCCTTGGATTCCATCCTGCTCAGCCTCTCTGACTTTCTCTGAATTTAGAGGAGTCTAGCACCCCTGAACTCATGACAAAACATTCCCTGGTCAGTATACAAAGTCTCCCAAATTTATACCTCCCCTTCCGCCAGAGGTTCAACAGTATGACATCTACACCCTCCTGGGCTTCTTGTGGCTTGAGAACACACAAAATTCAGTGAGGAATGGCCCAGTGGAGGTTATGTATATGGAGCAAAAATGCTCACAGCTTCTTCAGGAGCAGATCCTGTGCACATTCTCCTTCACAATCTACATATGGGGCTAGAGTGACCCACTGAATCCCCACCAGTTCTATGGTGTTTCTTTGGCAAGTACACTGAGAAATCAAGGGGTTATCTCTTTCCCCTTGCTCCCTGTCCTGGTGGATATTTCTTCCTGATCTGTTAGACTCTGGATTTGACTCCCCAGCACCAGCAGCCCCCTTCCTTAAGGTCTGAGGCATTTGCACCCCAAAGGTAATACCTTATCAATGAATGTGGCACCCCATAATTCTTTTGCACTCCAAGGCTTTAAAACAAGCAGTTGAGATGATTTCTCTTTGCAGGCTTCCTGGCTATCATCCCAACTCTTCATGTCATCTGAAATCCAAAGGCATTTGGACATGAAGAGATTCCATCCACGGGGACAGCAGCCTAAGGAAGACAAGAGAAGGTCGAGGGAAGGCGTTGAGCTGAAAGCCATGTGGTCTCAGGCCGGCTTAGGGTGGGAGCCACTCCAGTGGGACCCAGATCTGTCCCCAGTCCATGGGCTGAGAGTCTATGAGGGAGAGAGGGTGTATGTTCCCAATCCAGAGACAAGGACCTTCTGAAAAGCACCTGTGTTGGGCCCAGTTCAGACCGTGTGGCCGACCATGCCAGCCGCTGAGCAGAGACAGATGGAACAGACTTGAGTGTAGGCAGATGCACACATGGATAGTTGCCCTGTTGCCACATTCTTCCCACCTGTGTAGATGACGTGAATCATGTCCACACAGGATGGGCTATGGGGACAGGTAAAAGGTAAAAGACCCCTGGACGGTTAGGTCCAGTCAAAGGTGACTATGGTGTTGAAACAAATCATCTTGCTTTTCAGGCCGAGGGAGCCGGTGTTTGTCCACAGACAGCTTTCTGGGTCATGTGGCCACCATAACTAAACCACTTCTGGTGCAACAGAACACCACGATGGAAACCAGAGCGCATGGATACGCCGTTTACCTTCCCACCACAGTGGTACCTTTTTATCTACTTGCACTTTTGATGTGCTTTTAATAATAATAATAATAATAATAATAATAATAATAATAATAATAATATCTTTATTGTCATTGCCCCCTCTTGGGGACAACGAAATTACTTGGCTGCTCCATCCACCCAGGTAGGGCACTCCACACAAAATCAAAACAACTATAAAAACACTAATTAAAACAATACAGTATAATACAGCAAGGAAGATTAGATGACTTTCAAAGTCCAGGCTTCCCATTCAGGGCCAAGATCGCTCTGGGGAAGAAGCTGTTCTTAAGACGGCTCGTTCTTGTCTTCATCGTCCTGTATCTCCGTCCCGATGGCAGGAGCTCGAAGAGACAGTGACCAGGATGCGATGGATCTTTTACTATGTCCAGTGCCTTCCTATGGCACCTTGTGGCATAAATCTGCTCTAAGGTGGAGAGTGGGCAGCCAACAATGCTCTCTGCTGCCTTAACAAGTCTGCACAACCCCAACCTGTCCTGGGTAGTACAGCTTCCGTACCACACACACAAGCCATAAGTGAGAACGCTCTCAATGGCGCAGTGATAGAAGGCAAGCAGCAGTTTCTGCGGAAGATGGTTTTTCCTTAGAATTCTCAAAAAGTACAGTCTCTGCTGCGCCTTCTTCACAAGCCCCCTTGTGTTGACACTCCAGGACAGATCCTCTTGTAATTCAATGCCCAAAAATCTGAACATTGTTACCCTCTCCACACAGACCCCATCAATCAAAAGTGGCTGGACATTGCTCTTCTGTCTCCTGAAGTCCACCACAAGCTCCTTTGTCTTCCTTGTATTTATGAGCAACTTGTTAGCTCTGCACCACTCTGTCAGCCGCTCCACCTCATCTCTATAGTCCGTTTCACCCTCCCTTTCAGAGATGAGCCCAATCACGGTTGTGTCATCTGCAAATTTGACAACCCTATTACTAGGGTGAGCAGCGACACAATCGTACATGTAGAGAATATAAAGGAGCGTACTGAGTACGCATCCCTGTGGTGTTCCTGTGTTGAACTGCTAGGTTGGCAGGAGCAGGGACAAAACAACGGGAGCTCACCCCGTCGCCGGTATTCGAACCGCCGAACTTCTGATTGGTGAGCCCAAGAGGTTCAATGGTTTAGACCACAGCAAACGGGGCAAACCCCCCCCCCCACACACACACACTTGGACACCAAGCATTCAAGCACAGACTTCTGTCTGCCAAGAGCAGGGCAAAAAGTAAGTGGAGCCAAGGCCTCAGGCTGATGCAGGGAGAGAACCCTTTTCACACACATTCCCAGACAGAAACAAGCCTATATTTCTAATTCAGGCAAAGTGGGAAAAGGGGTGAGCTGACCATGTTCAAGGAGGGCATCAGTTCTGCCCCCAAGCACCGCTTGTGTTCGGCGCCACTGCGGCGTTTGCCCTCCTAGGTGTGTGACATCATACTGGGTTCATAAGGAAAGGGTTAACTAACTGGAAAATAAATAACCAATGGGAACCCAAGGAGAGGAGTTAGGAGTTAGAGTTAGGGTGGCTGAGAAGTCAGTCTGGGTTAGAGAAGAGATGGAGAGGTTAAGTCTGTGGGTTGGGCTAGTCTGATGTGAGAGTGAGATAATTTGTTAAGAGGAGTCAGTCAAACAGTTGAGATAATCAGTCAGGAGGTATTAGGAAGGTATAGGCTGGTAAATAAACTAAAGTTAAGATACTGACAGGAATATTTTCTGAGAAACCATAAACTTGCTAATGTTTATAAAATAAACTTGTTTATTTGGTTCAAGTTTAACAACTGCCTGGACTCAGTGTTTACCCGAGTGTAACTGGTTGGTGGCAGCAGGGAAGCGAGCACAGTGGTGGCACAGGGATCAATAGACCGTTAAACGTCCGGGGACCCTGTGTGATTGCCACAGCCACTTCATCAGAAGACTGAGAGCTGTGAAAGGACCTTTCCCTGATACCCTCTGGCAAGAGGGCAGAGAGACCAGCTCTTCCTAGGCACCAATCCCCTGAATTCAAGTAGCGCAAAAGGAAAACCCAATGAACAAAAAGCTGAGTCTTCTTTGGGCCGGAGGGAGGTATCTGAGATACCCTTCCTTCCTTCCTTCCTTCCTCTTATATTTCCCCCAGATGCTTCGCTCTAACCCGGAGGAAGCATTGCGACTTGCATTCTTCTGCACATAATGGAGATGCAGCCAAAGTGTACAGAGCGTAGCTTGGTCCTCCTCGTGGGTTTTTGAGATTTTTTTAAACCCTGCCCTTCTTCTAAGGAACTCAAGGCTGCACCATATGGTACTTCCTATCCTTCCATGGGCGTAGTCGCCCCCCTAGATGAAGTGAAGTTGTACCTTGGAAGTCGAACGGAATGCGTTCCGGAAGTCCGTTCAACTTCCAAAATGTTTGAAAGTCAAATCGCGGCTTCTGATCTACTATTTAATGATGTACTATCATTAAAGGAAAATTGGATGGAAAAGGATGATGGAAGTAAAATGTAGGCCAGACTTTGAGCTCTTGCCAGAGCACCTATGAGCTTCTCAGCCAAGTCCACCACCACAGGGGCAGGTGATGCAGTGGGGCACATGGGTGTCCTGCCAGCCTTGCAGCAATAATAATAATAATAATAATAATAATAATAATAATAATAATAATTTATATCCCACCCATCTGGCTGGGTTTTCCCAGCCGCTGTGGGCAGCTCCCAATCCAATATTAAAAACTCAATACAGCATTCAACATTCAACATTGCCAGCCTCCTGAGCAGAGTGCAACAGGCATACCAATGTTTTGGCAAGATTTGGTGTCCTCTATACTCTTCATGGTCTGGTCCAGACGCTGCTGAACTGCATCCTTCTCCTTCTGCATGAGCACCAGGCTCTCGTTCGCTTTCCTCAGCTGCTCCTGCGTCCGGTTCCCAGCAGCCAGGCAGCTCCGGAGGGTCCCGTTGGTGGAGTGGAGCTCCTCCTGGGCCTCTTCCAGCTGGGCCTGGGTCTGGGCCAGGCTGCCCTCCTGGGAGCCAATTCTATGTGCCAGGGCACTGCCATCTTCAGTCGCCTGCTGCAGCTGCCGTGAGACCTGCCAGTCTGCAGAGCACAAGCAGGGGCAACATGAGAGGAGGAGGAGGAGGGAGCTTCAGGTGCCAGGCAGGCAGCATGGCAGAGGGGAGCCAGCCTCTGTTGGATGGGGGGGCACACAGGCTGGCTTGGCCCAAAGGAGCTGCTGCTCAGAGATATGCAAACACAGGCTATGCATGTCTTATGTATTATACAAATGCTTCCTGCATCGGGGGAGACGATGAGGAGCGCTCCCAATGTTGTGGGGCTCCAGCTCCCCTTGACCCTGATCACTGGTCATGCTGGCCAGGGCTTATGGGAACTGGAGTCAATAATAATAATAATAATAATAATAATAATAATAATAATAATTTTTATTTACACCCTGCCCATCTGGCTGGGTTTTGCTGGCCACTCTGGGTAGCTCATCATACATTAAAACATCAAACATTAAAATATCAGACATTTAAAACTTCCCTAAAGAGGGCTGCCTTCAGATGTCTTGCTAAAATCAGATAGTTGTTTATTTCCTTGACATCTGATGGGAGGGCGTTCCACAGAGAAGGCACCACCACCGAGAAGGCCCTCTGCCTGGAGGGTGCCAGGCTCCCTGTCTCTGAGCCCAGGCTCCAGGGAAGGCTCTGCATCAAATGCCTGCAACACCCAAGGGTGCTCTCCCCCTCCCCCATTTATCAGCTCAATGGGCTTGGGCAGGGGGCACCCGCTACTCACATCGGACCCCCAGTCCTATGGCGGCGGTGAGAAGGAAGAGGCAGGCGGCCAACAATGCCAGGATGGCGTACCAAGACCGACGGTCTGACTCTGGAAGAGAAACTCAGTGGGGTCAGTTTGGGGTTCCTGTGGGAAGGGGTCAACCCTCAAAGGAAGCCTGATCCTGGAGGGAGGGCTGTGCGGAGACAGGGAACTGAGTGCAGCCCCCAATTGCCTGTCAGGGCCCAAGCTTCTCTGCTGCAATCGTGGCCAGTCTCATTTGTGGGGCTCCTTTCCCTCTGTGGGTGGCCCCTCCTCTGGAAACATAAGTAATGCCTAAGGTTCCCGCAGTCCTCCTCCTCCTCCTCATGGCAGGTGGAGGATCCAGGTGGGTTAAGACCTGGCTGGCACTCACCTTTTGTTCCCTCTGTGGCAGTGGGAGTCCTCTCCCCCTGGCAGGGGGGTCCCTGGACGTTCTCATAGGTCAGCTCTCCCTCTCCGGGGTCTGGAAGAGGAGCCGAGGGGTCAGTCACGGAGGGGGGCATCCGGATCTGCTCCACTTGGTTCCATGTGCCTTTCTCCTGGCTCCTCTCCGGAGGGGTCTTCACGAACTGCAGGTCAGCGTAGGTCACATCCTGTGCCATCCTGGGGTGGGGAGGCCCTGCTGTGCCTGAACTGAGGGCAAAGGGAGAGGCCTGGCTGGCTGGGAGCTCCTGGGCTGTCTGAAGAAAAGATAAAATGGATGGCAAGCGAAAGAAACTGAAATCTGATAGGGTCCATCAACTAACCACGAGCACCAGACTTCCTACAGCGCATTGTGTCTCGTCTATTTGGCATGCAAAGTCAAGCCCGTCAAGGGACCCAAGGCATGCACAGCCGAGCAGCAGAGTGTTGCAGAAAACATGAGGCTTCCTCTTTCTCAGCTGCTTCCTCCCCCAACTTGGTTGCATTTGTTGGTGGTGCTTTTGTACAGAGCGATATTTCAAGCCCTGGGCATCTGTCAGGGGTGCTTTGGGTGCAATTCCTGCATTGTAGGGGCTGGACTACATGATTCTTGGGGTCCCTTCCAATTCTGGAATTCTATGTTTCCTATGATAGTAGCTATATGGTATTATTATTAATTCAACTTATTAGGGTGTGATTAACTTGGCTGGGAAACAGGGAAATGTAAAGATCTCTTTTGTTACACTTGATGGGTGTTTGGTAGAGGGCAAGGGGAACCATGGGGCAGGGGCCAGGATGCTCAGATTATGGCCACCAGACCTGCCCTTACATGATGTAACCATGATGTAGTTTTGGGGGCTGTAACATGGGAATTAGCAGCTAATAAAAGTTTGGGTTCTCTTTTGTTTGGGGCTTCCATCTTGTTCCACCTGGTGGCAGGTGGGAGTCCTGTCGCGAGGGTCTTCAATCAAGACCAAGCCTCCTGGCTGCTCTTTTGCTCTGGGATTCCTGGCTGATGTCCTTGTTTTTTGTCCAAGGGAGCCCTCAGATTTCTCCATTAACAAAAGGAACTTAAAAAATTGAAGGCAACATGTGGCATGAGTTTTTTAAATAACCGAAATGGTTATACCTGCATTCCATCCCCCATCAAAGGCTTGACCACTTATGGAATGGATGCTGCCCCCCCCCCAGACATATAGTCCCCTGCAAGCACTAGGGAAGGGAAATGTTGTTGACCTCCCCCTCGGGTGTTTGTTTTCCTTCCCTTTTTCACTTTCTCTCATTCCTGCCCCCCTTCTTCCATCCTGGAACCCAAGGCGATGCAGATGTGGCTCCCAGGCAGGTGCTGCCAGAAACAAATCTGAAAATAAGAAGAGCCTGCAGCTGGATCAGGCCAACGCCCCATCCTGGCCAGCATCCTGCCCCCCCCCCCAGTGGCCAACCAGATGCCTCTTACGGGAAACCCGCAAGCAGGATTTGAGCACAAGAGAATATCCCCTTCCTATGGCTTCCAGCAACTGGGATTTGGAAGCGCTGCTGCCCCCAGCTGTGACCACTGTGGCCAGGATCCATGGACAGAGCCCTCTCCCCCTCCAGGGATTCATCTCATCCTCTTCTAAAGCCGCCCAATTTGGTAGCCATCTCTGCCTCCTGGGGGTTCCACACTTTAACTGCGCTGCGTGAAGACGGTCTTTCTCTTGTCTGTCCTGAACCTGCCAACATTCACCTTCATTGGAGGTCCATCAAGTCTAGCGCCAGCGCTTCATTTCAAAAAGGTGGTTGCCTCTTTTCCCTTCAGACACACACCACCCTATGACCAAAACATCCCCTAACTCCACCTGCAAGGGAAGATTGTGGGATGCCAACGGGTGGAGTGATCCTGAGCGCAAAAACTGCAGGGCGGATAAGCTAAAGTTACCAGATTTTTTCCAATGAATCTGGGGACACTTTAATTAACTAAAACTAACTAACTAACTACACATTCGGGATGTTGATGCTGCGGCGATGGCGTTGGCAGAGGGGCAGCCTCCTCCTTGACCTCAACCGCCACGTTTCCCCTTCCTCCGAGGCTTCTATCTCCTTTCTCCATGAGCCTGGGCAGCCCCTGAGTAGTTGGTTCTTCGGTGGTGGGGAAGCGGTGCGCGGTGGGTCAGGCATGGAAGGGGAGAAGGAGGGCTGAGAGTGGCAGCAGAGGGGAGGCTCAGGCAGCGCGATGCCTCCCTTTCCATCGGAGCAGCCCAAATCCCATTCCTACTTGCGTGCAAGCAGGAGCGGGGCAGGGATCCCTCAGCTGGGAAGGGAGGCTTCCCGTTGCCTAACTGAGAGACCCCTGCCCCCTCCTGCTTGCACGCAAGCTCTGATAGGCAACGTGCAGCCTCCCTTCCCAGCTGAGAGATCCCTGCCCCACTCCTGCTTGCACACAAGTAGGAGTTGGGATCAGGGCTGCTCCGGTAGGCAGCATGAAGCCTCCCTTCACAGCTTAGTTGCTGGGGTCAGGGAAGGTGGAGGCAGCCCGGAAGCTGCGTCTTTGAGCCCCTGCACCACCATCATATGGGGACTTCCGAGCAGCTCCTGAAGCCAGCCAGAGCCAACTGCTGCAGGCTGCTGAGACGGCTGCTGATGCGTTTCCTGGGGACATTAGATGAAATCAGGGGACATTCCCTGGATGGAATTTGTCCGGGGCCTTATTTGCAAATCCAGGGACTGTCCCCGAGAAATGGGGGCATCTGGTAACCCTAGGATAAGCGCTGATCCTCCCCTGCCTGTCCCCAACTTTGCATCTTTGGAAACAGGAAGTTTGCTGGAGGGCTCCTTTTTCACATGCCCTGAGGGTGCTTCCTCCGGAAAGGAGGGCTGCTTTCTGCTCTGCAACCTTTGCTAGCTGCACTTTCACTGAGTGTGCCAGCTGCGATATTGCAAGTCGGGACCCCCTCCCATTTGGGGAGGGAGCAGAGGTCTAATTGTTACATTGCTGCATTGTGCTATGGATGAACACCTGATCTGTGGGTGCCTCTGGGACCCAATTCATCAGTGGGGCATTGCAGTGCAAGGAGCGTGTCACTATTTAGCTGGAATCGCTCTGGTTCGACAAGAGTAATGGCTGGAATGAAGGCGTGTGCTGGCACCGGATATGGTTCTGGGGACTGAGGAGGCCTGTGTCTCTGATGCGCTCCACAGGCATGCGCCACTTAACACACAACTTCTGCTTTGGGATGGGGTTCAGCTGAAACCAACCCCCCACATGTGGCGACCATGACAGGGTCCCTGCTAAAGAACCCCCCCACTGACTCCAGGCCCAAGAACAGGAGCAACAACATCCCAAAGGGGTTTCGCCAGTCCTGGTGTTCTGAACCGCAGACCCAAAGGAGGACTCATGGGAGTGGCTGGGTGCAGGGATACCAAAAAAGGACGTGGAAACATTGGAGTGATCAGGTCTAGTGCTTTGTTCAAGACAGGTGCAGACCTGCAGCAAATCAGCCGGGTCTCCCAGGCTTTACAGACGCAGGACGGAGACAGAAGCCAGGAGGCGGCTTGTCCACACCCAAGTCAATGTGCAGGTATTCATTAGACATAAAGCAGCAGACATCGCTTTGGCCAGGACTTCCCCTCGCTTCACCTGACCAGATGAGGGCATAGGTGCCAAATAGCCCAATCCTACAGGTAGCTCCTCTTTCTGGACTCAGAGCCCAGCACCCCAAGCTCAGAGATAAGGCAAAGCCAGCTAATAATAATAATAATAATATTTATTATTTATACCCCCACCCATCTGGCTGGATTTCCCAGCCACTCTGGGCGGCTCCCCACAGAATATTAAAAACAAAGAATATCAAAGCAAATAAATATCAATACAGATGAGCTCATTGCTGCAACCACTACCAGTTAATTGTGGGCTATCTTGACCACCAAGATGGTGTTTGCAGAGCTGCTGGAACAGTCTGCCTTTGGTTCAACCCACCCTGGAGCCTTGGCAGAGCAGCTGCCAGGTGAGCAGCAGGGAGCAAGGCAGCTGCAAAGGCCCTCTCCCTTCTTGCCACCCTGAGAACCTAAGGCTGAAGCTGGATCAGGCCAGTGGCCCTCTAGTCCAGCCTCCTGTTCTGTCCTCCCTGTGGCCGGCCAGATGCCCTCAAGGGAGGCCCGCAGGCAGCGCCCCAGAGCAAGAGCCCCTCCCCTCTGCTTTCCAGCCACTGCCCTTCAGACGCGCGGCTGCCTCTGGCCCGCCAGGCCGAGCCCGGCCATTGTGGCTGCAGCCCAAGCCGGCCGCCTCCTCCAGGGATGCCCCGGTCCAGGTGGGCGCCCATCGCTGCCTCCCGAGGGGGCGAGTTCCGCAGTTTAAGGCTGCGCTGAGCGGAGAAGGACCCTCTCCAAGCTTCCTTGGGAGGGGGCGCAGGCAGGGCTGCCTCCGGGGGCGGCCTCGGGGTCCAGGTAGGTTGGCACGGGAGGAGAAGGGCTTGTTCACTCAGGGTTGGGGTCCAGCCAGGGCGGCCGCGTTGCGCAGCTGGGAGAGGAGGGAGGCTTCCGGGACCCTGGAAGGGGGGGTCCCCTGACTGCACCCCGAAGGGGTTCCCCCGGCAAAGGGTCCCGTCGCCCTTGCTTGCTGGCAGAGGCGCGGTGGATGCAGCCCCCGGACAGGCCGGGCGGGGTCGTCGTTGCTGCTGCCCTCGCCGCCTCCGCGCGCGCCCTGCTCCTGCGCAGCCTCGCCCGGCCCGGCCATGCGGAGCCCCGAGCCTCGTCGCCGCGGGCGGGGGCAGCTGCCGGAGGGCGGGCGGGCGGGCGGGCGGGCGAGGGACTGGGCGCGGCCGGGCATCCGCAGAGCCGCCGCTAGCCAGCCGGACCCCGAGCGGCAGCGGCAGGTAAGGCGAGCCGGAGCCGGGAGAGGCGGGCGGGCGGGCGGGCGGGCACGCTGGCGCTCCCTTCCCCGCCGGGCGCGCGCCTTGCCCTGGGCCGGGCAGCTCAGCTGCAGCCCCGACAGGGAAGGAGGATGGGCGGGCGGGCGGAGCCCGGGAGTCGCGGTCCTGTCCCGGCGCCACGCTCGCGGCAGAAGACAGGGCCTCTGAGCGTGTGCAGAGCGGCGCCCGCCAGCTGCTGCGCGCTCTGGAAAAACAAAGGGCTGCCGGAAGCGGCCTCGGGCCTTCAGTCCCTTCGGGGGCCAAGAAGTGGGGCAAGGAGGCCTGGCCGGGGGCCGGGTGGGCAGAAAAGGTGGTCCCCACGCTGCCGCTCGCCAAGCCTAGCCCAGATAGAGTCGCAGGGGGAAATTTCCTCCGCAACTGCAGGCGCCGCTCTCCATGAACTGCGATTCCCCCATGCAGCTAGGCAGGGCTTATTCCTCTGCCTGGTCCCGCCAGCTCAGAACGCGTCCTTCTGCATGCCAGACAGGTGCCCTTCCCTCCAGACGGAGAGGCATACCAGGCTGGCCTTGTGCTGGGCCATGCAGCTGAGCATTGTTGACACTGGCTGGCAGAGGCTCTCTCCCAGGTTTCAGGCAGGGCACCTTCCCAGCCCACCTGGAGATGCCAGCAGAGACCCTTTGAGCTGGGGCCCCACGTGGGAAATGGCCATAGGGCCAGTCAGAGGCTGGTCCAGCTGGCTCAGTATTGTCTCCCCAGTGGGAGGCAAGTGAGCAGGACCTGCTGCTGGGAAACTGGGAATTGTGAGGTGGGGGGAGTCCAGGGACCACATGCAGGGATGCTGAAGAGGGAGGCAGGCAGGCAGGCTGCCAGAGGAGGGAGCTGTCTGGGGTCAAGGGGAATCTGAGGCCCAAGGCAGGAGGTCTTGCAGGGGTCTCTCATTGCCTGCATGGGGGAGCCTGATGGTGGCAGCAAAGGGGAGTCTGGTGCAACCATCCCCTCTCCAGCAGAGTTCCCTGGTTTCCTGCTGACCCTGGGCCCATCTGGCTCCTTCCTGGTGCCCGCCCTGGTCCTGCGAGCCCCTTCCTTCCGTCTTCCCTGCAGGTGCCCAGCCCACGGAGCCGCCCTGAATGATGCCCAGGGGCCGTGCCTGGACCCAGCAGGAGATCGCCTGCCTCCTGGCGTTCATCGGAGGCTGCCGGCAGGTGACGCTGCTGATGGCCTCCACCTCGCGCCCCAACGAGGCCCTCTGGCGAGACATCTCCCGCCGGCTGGCCCTGGCTGGCTACAGCCGCAACGTGGCCCAGTGCCGCTCCAAGTGGAAGGCCCTTAAGCAGGCCTTCTACTCCGAGTGGGAGACCCGGAGGCAGCAGGCTGGGGGGCAACCCGCCCCCCAGGCACCCCCCCACTACAAGACCATGAAGAGGATCTGGGAAGCCGCGGGGCGACCTGTCTTCGGGGAGAGGCGCCTGCCAGGTAAGGGAGCCTCCTCTCCCCCTTGCCCCCCTTTCTTAGCCAACTTTGGGGTGGGCTTCAGGTGAGCCCCGGTCCTCTCTCCACCACCCAGGATTTGGGGGATGTGAACAGGTACTGTGGCAGAAAGAGGCAGGTGGTGGGAGAGGAGAGGTAAGAGAGCAACATCAGAGGCCTCCCTACTCTTGCCCCCCCCCCCCGGGGTATTTTTCAGTCAGGAACAGGAAGGAACAAACCCTCTCAGTTTGAGCAGGTGCTGTTACCTGTACAAACATTTTATCCACAAGAATGAGGGAGAGACTCATTTTTAAAAGAGAGAGAGAGAGAGACCAGAAATGCCCTGGATTTGCAAAGGATGGAGCTGTGTGGCCTCAAGCCTTGAAAATTTCTCTACTTACTGGCCCCATCTGAAGGTAACTGGGAATGCCAGTGCCTGGGTCCTGGACAATGGCTTGGCAACACAGGGGTGCATGTGGGGGGTCTGGGGCATACCCAGGCCTAATGCTTTTTTTTAAAAAAAATGGGGATCGAGAGAAGCTGGCAGAGAGAGAGAGAGACATGAGCAGAAGAAAAAGGCTGGAATGGATCTGGAGCTGTGACCTGCGCCAACGCCCAGCAGCAAGGCAGATCCATTCCAGCCTTTTTCTTCTGCTTGCATCTATCTCTGTCATGTGGTTCTTCCTCCATCCAAGCACCACTTGCCACCTTGGGTGGAGACAGATCAGTGGGGATGAGGGGCTGCTTTTGTGGCATGCACATAAGGAGGAGGAGGGGCTATCCCGCCCTCAGCCCCCCAGATCTGCACTGCTTCTGTTCAGCTTGGCATGGGGCTTTTTCTCTGCAAGAACAATCTCCTGTTTGGCCTTGTAGACCACTCTTGTTGAAGTTCTTTTGCCTCTTTACCTCTTCCTTGCCCTTTTTTGTTTGCTTGTCATTCCCCCCTTCCTTCGTTGAAATATGTATTTTTTTTTAAATCCCAGAATGCCCATCCTAATCAAATGTGCTGCTTGCATCTGTGCTTGTCAACTGCTGTCTTGCTTGGTTACCTGGTTACCTGTAGTCCATTGTGTTGGACTACAGCTCCCATCAGCTCTGGGCAGCACAGCTATGCTGCCACCAGCATCCTATGGCCATGCATGCTGTGCTGATGGGAGTTGTAGTCCAAACCAATGGTAGGACATAGGAGGACACCAGGTTGCCAATGGCTGTCCTATGAGATTTGCCTTACGAGTCCATTTTCCTTCCAGATCTAGGGAAGCTGCCTCCCCACAAGGACAGCGGCGATCCAGAGGCCAAGCCGTCTCTGTCCTTGCCGCAAGAGATGGCAGGCAGCAAAACCCAGGATCTGTGCAGTGGGAGACGGTTGACTTGCTCAGCTTCTGCGTGTCAGGCTGCTGGTAGGTGTGTAGCTGAAAGCAGGGAGGGGAGAACACACCAAGGAATCTCCCAAGGCAGCAGAATCTGCTCCTCTGTTGAAGAGGCAGTGACGGCCACCAGTCTGGATGGCTTTAAAAGAGGAAGAGACAAACTCCTGGAGGAGGAGAGGGAGATCCGTGGCCACTAAGCTGTGCTGGCTCTGCTCTGCCTCCATGGTCAGAGGCTGCAATGCTTCTGAATACAGAGGTCCCTTGGTTCTCAAACTGAATCTGTCCCAGAAGTCTGTTCCAAAACCAAAGCGTTCCAAAACCAAGGCACACTTTCCCATAGAAAGTCATGCAAAATGGGTTAATCCTTTTCAGACTTTTAATAACAATCCCCCAAACAGCAATTTAACATGAATTTTACTATCTAAAGAGACCACTGATACATAAAATGAAAGCAATAAACAATGTACACTGAAAAATGAAAGCAATAAACAATGCAGTTCATGCAATCAATCAATCAATCAATCAGAAGCCGAACTGGGTTCCAGACAGTCACACACACACACACACAAAAAGAGCCACAAAAACACAAAATAGCAAAAACAGACAGACCTCAGTGTAACACTCAAAACGGAAGTGTGGCACTTAAATCAGAAGCATAACACTCAAAATGGAGCACGTTCAACTTCCAAAAAAATTTCGCAAACTGGAACACTTACTTCCAGGTTTGCAGTGTTTGGGTTCCAAGTTGTTTGAGAACCAAGGGGCCACTGTATCATTTGCTGGAAACCACAGGAAGGGGGAGTCACTCTGATTCTGGGTTTCCCAGTGGGGCAGCTGGTTGCTGGACTAGATGGGCCCCTGGCCTGACCCAGCAGGCTCTTCTTCGGCTCTTAAGGAGAGAGGGGTTGCCTGCAGGAGTTGAATCACGAGCCCTTTGCCAAATCTTGCAGATTCCCCCTCGGCCTGCGAGGGCTCCTTGAGGCCCTTGCCAGAGAGCCCGGACCGGCCAGCCTGCGCTGCAGAGAAGGACTCGCCTGAGACTGCAAGAGAGGAACAGGTGGCAGCGGACGATGGGCAGCCCTCTGGGCCAGACAGTCAAGGTGAGGGTCACTTCTTTGGATTGAGTGCTCCAAAAACAGGTGGGGTTGAAAGCACCCCAACACCACTGAACAACACTTTTGTGTTTGTCTTCTGCAACTCAACATTCTCCCATTATCCCTCGACTGTGGCAAGGTGTGATTTGACATGCGGCACTTCAGCCCCATCTAGGGAAAAGTTTATGTTGTTGTTTTTACAGATTTTGGGGTCCTATTGAAGGGAATGAGAAAAATGAAAAAGTACACAAACTGCCTGGGGCCCAAGTGACCCCACAAACAACTGCTGCAGTTCCTTACTTACTTTTCATGTCTGCAGATGCTCAGCTCAGAATCTCTTTCCGTTTCTTCTGGGAAGAGAATGCATTCATACAAGGCAATTTGCTCACCTTCCCTGATGGGCATAGGACCCCCCCCCCAGGCTTACAAATCTCCTTCTGAAATCTACAGAAAATGTGTCCATTCTCTCTGGTGCTTTTGGAGAGGTCCCCCTTGGGTGGTGTCTCTGCCCTGACCCCCTGACCTCCCCTCTTGCTCCCGCCTGCTCTCTCCCCTCGCAGGGCCCGGCATCGTCAGCCTCCTGCAGAGCATGCAGCAGATCCTGGTGCAGATCCTGCGCACGTCGCGGCAGCAGCAGCTCCTCCTGGAAAGCCTGGCCAGCGACACCGTCTCCCACCTGCACGTCATCTCGGACAACCTGGTGCAGGTGGGCGAGACTCTGCACGAGTTGCTGCTCCACAGCCACGCACACTCGGCTGATCCGTACGGCATCCGCACCCCTCTCCACGGGGGCCCATCCCAGCCCTGTTCCCCAGGGGCCCCACCTGCCTCTCCCCTCAAGGAAGAAACTTGGCTGCTACCTGCAGCCGGCTTCCGACCTCACGGCTCGGCCCCACCCTGAGCCACCTCCCTCTCCCAGGTTTTTGAGACTCCATCAGATTTGGGCAGGGGCAGCACAAGGGACTCCATTTGCCCCTCTGTGCTGAGGAGGGGGGGGCATTTTCCAAGGTCAGTGTTTGTATCCTTACAGAAAAGCCTCCAGACTTTTGTAAAATTTTATTTTTTCAATAAAATTTGAAAATGAGGAAATGTATTATGCTTCTTTCCTGTGCAGAAACCTCAGAGCGGTGTTCAGAAATGGAGGGCTGAGAATATCCTGGCATGTTTGGGAGGGACATGTTATTCTACTCTTCTTGACATCCTAGCTTTCAACGTGCAGGGATTTATTTATTTACAGTGGAACCTTGGGTTGCGGACGTAATCCGTGAGGGAGGCACGTCCGCAACCTGCAGCGTTCGTAAACTGCAGCACCGTGTCTGCGCATGCACGTGACGTGATTTAGCGCTTCTGCGCATGCACAAGTGGCAAAACCCAGAAGTAACCCTTTCCGGTACTTCCAGGTTTCCCATGGTCCGCAACCTGAAAACACGTAACCCGAAGCGTTTGTAACCCGAGGTACCACTGCATTGCTTTTACTTCACTTTAATAAGCCTTTGCCTAGAGTCTGAAGTGGTGTGACACAGGCTTATTCCACAGGAGAACCAGAACCATTTCTGAACCGAAGCTGATTGCTGCAAAATTATAAGCCTTGAAGGAGATAAAAGGCAGATAGCATCCCCCAAGGGGGAAGAAACCCTCCGTCCATTAGGACTCATGACTCTGGGTCTTTCTGAAGGGCCAAGGGCTGTGTGTGCTTGCCCTCCAGCCCCCCAGCGTGGGGAGAGAATATCTTGCCCCATTCATTTCCAGCTTGCAGCACCAACAAGCTGAGCTGACTGTTCCAGGCAGGGGGTGGGGGTGGGGGTGGGTGTCCTCCCCTTCCACCCAAAAAGCACCACTTTACAGATCAGAAACCACAGGTGGGCTATAAAATACTGGGAGGAGCTGAGATGAGTTTCTAGTTGAAATTAGTAATCCTAATGAGTTATATTAGGATTAGTTGTTGATTAGGATTAGGGTTAGGATTAGCATGTGTTGTTAATAATGCCTGTTTGCAGAATCTCAAAATTGTAGTTTGGGAAAGGACTCAAAGGCCCATTTAGTCTGACCTCTGCAATGCAAGAATTGCTGCTAAAATGCAGGAATTGCAGCTATTCAGTGCCTCGCAGTCCCTCTCTCACATGGTCGGAAGTAGGCTGTCCTGAAATAGGTCGGGGGGGTGTGTGCCTGAGTGGCTCCTGGCAAAACAGTCGCCCTTTCTGCTCCCTGAAGTGCCACTATATGTGTGAGGGGGGGCGTTTTGCCCAATTGATGCAGAGTTTCCTGCAGGCTTCGCAGTCCTCATTCCGGCTGCTGCAACAGGCACAAAGAAAGCACCCAGTGCTGGATCACATCCTCCAGGTACGGGACGCTCCACGTCCAAGTCCAGTGACAAGGCCCTCCCTCTGCCTGGGATGTTGGAGAGCTGCTGCCGGTCAGAGTGGGCCGTGTTGGGCCAGATGGGCCAAGGGTGCCTGGCAGACTTGAAGGTGGAGCCTCGTTTCTTCCTGGGGCTCCCTTTGTTGCCAAGAGGCCCTTGGCACATCCAGGCTCTGCTGGGCCTGCAGAATATTGTTTGTTTCCTTTACATCCCACCTTTCCGCCAAAAATGCCAGCAGGACTTGCTTTCTCTAGCTGGAAGGAGCCTGTTGGGGAAGGAGCCTGAGGAGGACAGCGCTAGGCTCTTGCTGTGATCCGCACTCGGAGCAGGAGGAGGGCAAGGCCCCCACCCCCCAATGCTGCGTTCTCCAGCTCACCACCTGGTGACCTCCGGCCTGTCTCTGCAGGAGTGCCGGGCTTCCCGCATTCTCCGCGTGGCCAGCTCCTGCTCTGGCGCACTGAGGCTGTGGACCACCATCAGGTAGCGGAAGTTGCACACTCGCCACCTGGCGTTCTGCTTGGCAAAGCGGGCGCTGGACTTGGGCCGCAGCCCGGCCCGCTGAGCCAAGATGCCCACGTAGGCGTCTTCCACCGGGATGGGGGGAACACTCTCTGCCGCCCGCAGGACCCTCGCGGCTGCGTCCAGGGACAGGACGTAGCCGATGCCACTGGCATACGGCGGGTATTCTTCCGGGGAATAGGCTTCCCGTGGCACGTACCACTTGCTGGAGGGATGCCGGATGACTTTCCGCTTCTCCCGGGCAAAGACGGAGCCTGCATAGAGGCCGCTCCGGAGGGTGTTTTGCCTGGCCAGGAACTCTGGCAGCCACTCGGTGTTGACAAAGCAGTCGTCGTCCGTCTTGAGGAGGTAGCTGGGCCGGCAGCGGCCGAGGGCCCACCGGACGCCATGCAGGACCTTCAAGGTGAGGTTGCGGTAGGTGTCCAGGTAATTCCCCACCAGGACATCCCCAAAGTCCTCCTGCTCTTGCTGGATCTGCCGGGAGGCCTCCTCACCTGCGCCCCGGCCTACCAGGAACACGACCTGCCAAAGAAGTTGAAAAATATCTTCATGTATGTGATAATGAAGGGACGCGGGTGGCGCTGTGGGTAAAAGCCTCAGCGCCTAGGGCTTGCCGATCGAAAGGTCGGTGGTTCGAATCCCCGCGGTGGGGTGCGCTCCCGTCGTTCGGTCCCAGCGCCTGCCAACCTAGCAGTTCGAAAGCACTCCCGGGTGCAAGTAGATAAATAGGGACCGCTTACTGGCGGGAAGGTAAACGGCGTTTCCGTGTGCGGCTCTGGCTCGCCAGAGCAGCGATGTCACGCTGGCCACGTGACCCGGAAGTGTCTCCGGACAGCGCTGGCCCACGGCCTATAGAGTGAGATGGGCGCACAACCCTAGAGTCTGGCAAGACTAGCCCGTACGGGCAGGGGTACCTTTACCTTTTATGTGATAATGACGGCAAGAGTCTTAATAGCACAAGGATGGAAGACTGAGGAAATCCCGACTAGAGAATCATGGCAAGATAAACTGATGGACTACGCAGAATTGGCAAAATTGACACATAAACTACGGGACAAGGATAACTGTGACTTTAAAGATGAATGGGAACCCTTTAGAAAGTATCTGAAGATGCAGCAAAGTGAACTGGACTCCTTTCCAGGTTTTGAATAACACTCACAAACCTTTTATTGATAATAACCAGTTAGACAAATTAAGGATTTATACAATTTTGTAACATGAAGAGAATAGCATTTATAGAGAAACCAGAGATTGGAACTGAGAGAAGTCAAGGGTTTGTTTTATGGGAGGGAGGGGGAGGAGGGAAAATGGGGGAAATTAAGGATGATATATTTTAAGATAATATGTTTTGTTTAAATTCCAAATAATAATAAAAAATTTTTTTAAAGGAACACGACCTGCCACGGGTAAGGCTGGGGCTTCTCTTGCGCAGCCCAGGTCCTCCGTATCACCTGCCGGGATTCTGCGTTTCCTGGGGCCGACGTCACGAGGATTAAGAGCACCTGTCCAGGCTCACAGTGTGGCTCCCAGCCAGCTTCGGAGAACAGAGGCCCAAAGTCCACCCCCTGGCCGGCTGCGTTTCCGGCTCCAGAGTGGGTCCTCTGGGGGGGCTCCTGCCAGGCAGCAAAGATAGGGCTGGAGGCCCCCAGCAGCTTCTGGGCACCATCGGGCAGGAGCAGGAGGCACCAGAGCGGGATGGAGGAGAGCAGGAGACAGAGGCAGGCCAGACCCTTTGAGCCCCAGGGGCGCCTCGGGGCCATGGGGAGCGGGCATGGCAGTCCTGGCAGCCTCTGGTCAGTGCTGGCCTTTGCTCTCGCCTGTTGGGCGCAGGCCGGCCGGCCAAAGGGCAGCTGCGAGAGGGAGGAGATCTGCAAGGGCCGAGGCCAAGCGCCACCCGGCCTCTGACTACGCCAGCCAAGGCCCAAGGGGGACTGGAGCGCCACAGGCAGGGAGAGAGGGGGCTCTCCAGAATGACACCTGCAGGCCCTTCATTTCGGCTGGCCGGAGGGAGGGCAAATAGGAAGGATGCTTTGTGTGGCTGGGCGGCAGATCCGTGATGGTTATCGATGATCCCGGCCTGGGCCTGTCCTGCTCCTCTTGCATTTCCTAAGCAAAAGAAAAAAGGCAAATCTCACAAGGAGGAATACGTCTTTGCACAGCGCCTAGTCAAACTATGGAACTCCCTCCTGCAAATTGGATGGCTTGAAAAGAGGATGGGACAAATTCCTGGAGGAGAAGAGGGAATGCCAGAATTCTTCTGGAAAGCCCAGGAGGGAAGGGGGCTGTTCTTGTGCTGGAATCCTGCCTCCGGATTTTCCAAGGCTGCATCTGCTTGGCCCCTGTGAGAACAGCGTGCTGGACCCGATGGGCCCCCTTTGCCTTGACCCAGAGGGCTCTTCTAACCAGGGCCAGACTGAGGTTGGATGAGGCCCTCAGCTCCTGAAGGTAATGAGGCCCTTTCTATGTGCAGCTGTCCTTTGTCAACAACAAATTGTCACTGTTTTTTGGGTCAAATATATGCTGTATCGGGACGTGGGTGGTGCTGTGGGTTAAACCACAGAGCCTAGGACTTGGCGGTTTGAATCCCCGCGACGGGGTGAGCTCCCGTTGCTCGGTCCCTGCTCCTGCCAACCTAACAGTTCAAAAGCACGTCAAAGTGCAAGTAGATAAAGAGGTCCCGCTCCAGCGGGAAGGTAAACGGCGTTTCCGTGCACTGCTCTGGTTTGCCAGAAGCGGCTTAGTCCTGCTGGCCACATGACCCAGAAGCTGTACGCCGGCTCCCTCGGCCAATAAAGCGAGATGAGCGCTGCAACCTCAGAGTTGGTCACGACTGGACCTAATGGTCAGGGGTCCCTTTACCTTTTTTTTTAGATCAAGACCACCCCCAGAAACATCATACATACATCACAGAAAAGGCGGTCTAAAACAGAAATTTGAATGTTGTCTTTCTCCTGTCGTTGTTTATTTCCTGTCTTGCAGATTACTTGATTGGATTGCCTGGGGAGCCTGGCCAGTCTTTTGTAATGATAAATACTTCGTTCCTGCGCCAGGTCACAGGCTCACACCCTATTCCTATTTTAAATGTGCCCTTAAGACAGGATTTGTGAAGGAAAAGACAATGGGGAGGCTTTTCCATTTTCCTTTGACCAGGTAGAGAAAACATTTGGTCAGTTTGGGAATCAAAAATGGTTTCAGGTCGGTCTTCCTGTGCTGATCTATGTACGTGCTTGGTTGGTACTCTTATGAACATTGAACATATACCTAAGACCTCAAAATTCCTATCACAATGTCAATCCGGCCCTGCTCCTTCCATTGCACCAGGACACCCACAAGGAGGGCCAGGTTGCCCCAAGGAGGACCCCTTCCTGCCTGGGGGACACTTCCTTCCCACCGGACAGACGCGGCTGCTGGCGGCCCCTGAGCCTGGGCGGGGAGGGTCTCTGGGCCTGGGCTCCCACCTGGGGGCTTTCCCTGGGGGCCCCTGCTTGGCCCCGATCCAGCAGCCACGCTCTTCTGAGGCTCCCATCGAGCCTCCAGCTGCAGAGGCAGTTTATCCCCGACCTGGCCACAGTGACCCATGCGACGGTCACCTCCGGGTTTGACTACTGTGATTCGCTCTACGCAGGGCTGTCCTTGAAGCTGTCCCAGAAACTCCAGCGGGTGCAGAATGCTGCAGCGAGGCTCCTCACGGGGTCTTTGCCATGGGAGCATATTCACCCAGTGCTTTTCCAGCTGCACTGGCTCCCGGTGGAGTACAGGGTCAGGTTTAAGGTGCTGCTTTTGACCTTTAAAGCCCTTCACAGCCTAGGACCCTCGTACCTACGGGACCGCCTCTCCTGGTATGCCCCACGGAGAGCCTCAAGGTCCATAAATAGCAACACCCTAGAGGTCCCGGGCCCTAAGGAAGTTAGATTGGCTTCAGCCAGAGCCAGGGCCTTTTCAACTCTGGCTCCGGCCTGGTGGAACGCTCTGCCTCATGAGACCAGGGCCCTGCAGGATCTGATCTCTTTCCGCAGGGCCTGTAAGACAGAGTTGTTCTGCCTGGCCTTTGGCTTGGAGCCAATTTGATTCCCTCCCTCCCTCCCTCTCTTTCTTTTTTCTTTTCCTTCTCCTCCTGCAATGAGGCTACATTTTAATATTTTAATGTTCCATTATTTTAATGTTGTATTTTATTTTTGTTTTTAAGTTGTAATCATTCTTCTTGTTTTTATTATTGCTTGTAAGCCGCTCTGAGTCCGGCCTTGGCTGGGGAGGGCGGGGTATAAATAAAATTTTTATTATTATTATTATTATTATTATTATTATTATTATTATTATTATTATTATTATTATTATTATCCAGCAGCCACGCTCTTCTGAGGCTCCAGCTGCAGAGGCAGTCTATCTCTGGGGGCGGGGCTTGGAGTCCTTACGAGGGAGGGCAGGGGGCGGGGCCGCGCTTGCTCCTCCCTCGGCCCACCTGGTTGCCCCGGCAACGAAAAGGCGGCGCCGCCCACTCGCTCCCGTCGAGGCCCGGATGGACGGGTCTTTGGCCAATAGCTGCCGCGAGGCTCTTGCGAGAGACCAATCGGGAAGAGGAGAGGGAGGGGCGCCTCGCAGGGATGCCGCCCAATCGGAAAGCGACAGGGACGCCACAGAGATAAGAAAGTAAAGGTGCAGCAGCGCCGGCTACTTGTGAGGCACGTTGGGAGAGGGAAAATGAAAGCGGCTCCGCAAGAAATGCCAAGAATGGCAGGTGAAGATGCTGGTCTTTTCGGAGCTGGCCGACCAGACGGGAAGAATCCGCGACCAGAAAGAAAAGAGGATTGGAAGAAATTTAAGGCATATCTAGCTAAATATTGTGATAAAAGATAAAGTAAAAATTCTCGGAAATAATAAATAGGCTATGGGGTAGAACAAGAATATAGGATAGTAAACTTTAAGGACTAAAATATTAATAAAGAAGAGGTGATATAATGAGCTTCAGTTAGAGGGGATTCGAGGAAGTCAGTTATCAATGTCATGAGAATTAGGTAATTGAAGAAACCATTTTCTTTGTATTTATTATTGTGTAATGTGGTTTTCTTTGTTGAGTGTTTTGTTAGGGTATTTTTGGGGTAAATGTCGAAAATCAATAAAAAAAATTGGGGGGGGGGAGAGGAAGACGCCCCACTCTGAGGCTGCGCGCAGGAGGAGGAGGCGTCGGCAGCAGCAGCAGCAGCAGCGCTCTCTACCCTTTTCCTATCTCTATGGGTGACGGCGGGAGGAGGACGTCCTTTCCTCCCCTCCTTTCCCCTTCTTAACCAATCAGCAAGCCGCCCGTGTCCGACTGTTCGGCTGGCCAATCGGGACGGGCGAGAGGAGGCGCGCACGTCTTTCTGCGTCGCGCCCGCGCGGTGCATCCCGGGAGGCGTAGTTCTCCTTGCTCGGCGTCCCTCCGCTCGCAGCTCCGCGATGCTCCGGGCGGCGCGGCTCTTCCTGGCGGCGCTGCTGGCCGTGCAGGCGGCGGCGGGAGGCAAGTACTCGCGGGAGGCCAACGAGGAGGCCAAGGCGGCGCCCCCCGCGGAATTCCGCCTGGTCAAGCTGAGCCAGGTCTGGGCGAAGGCGCAGCGGGTGAGTCGGAAAGGGAGCCCGGGGTCATCCAGCCCAACCCCGCCAGGCGGGCATCCCAGCTGGGCCAGCTCCGCCGGGAAACACCCCCCCCCGACGTCACGGGATCCCCCCTCGGAAGGGAGGCCCCCCGCAGGAACCCCCTGGAAAGGCGGGGCTCCGACCTCGCCTGGGAAACCCCCAAGGAAGGGGAGGCCAGCACCTTCCCGCCGTCGAAGGGGGGGCGTTGCTTGATGGTTCTTGGGGGGCTCCCTTCTGGGGCGAGGGGGTATCCCGTGACGTCGGGCTCTCCTTCTCGGGGGGTTTCCCAGCGGAGATCGTCCTGCTGAGATTCCTGCCCCCCCGCTCCCGACGTCACGGGATCCCCCCCCCCAGAGCGTCGGAGGGAGCCCCCCCCCAGAAGCATCTAGTCCAGCCCCTGGAAATGCGGGGCTCCGACCCCGCCTGGGCAACCTCCAAGGAAGGGGAGGCCAGCACCTTCCCGCCGTCGAAGGGGCGCGTTGCTGGTGTCTTTCGGGTTCTTTGCTATTTGCAAGCCGCTCTGGGGTTCGTTGGAACGGAAAGCGGCGCAGGAATGCAAAAGAAATCCAATTTCGTTACTCCTAACTTCGAGTCGGGGCCTCCATTCTCGTAACGAACCGTCCCTCCCCACCCCCTCGGAGGAGCGGCCCCTGCTGGCCTCCATCGGGCCACTTGGCGGCTCGGCTCTGGAAGACCCCCAGCGGGGAAAGAGTTGCCCCTCGCCTGCTGGGAAGGGTGCTGGGGGAGGGTCCGGTAGCATCTCCTGGATCCAGGCGGCTGAGGCCGGATGGGGCTGGTGCCCCACTCAATGGCGGGTTGCTGGGCAGGGTTAATCTTTAGCCGGACCCCGCCTGGATGGCGCCCGGAGGGGTTAATCTTCAGCCGCCCCACCAGCTGGTGGTCTCTCCAAGGTGTCTGGTCGCCCTCCGAAGGACTCTGGCTGGGGGTGAGGGGGTGCATTACAAGGGGGGCAGGAATCCAGTCTGAACAGGCAAGCAATGAGTTGGGTCCCTCCTGCATCTTTCTCATAGAATCCTAGAGTTGGAAGAGACCACAAGGGCCATCGAGTCCAACCCCCTGCCAAGCAGGAAACACCATCAGAGCACTCCTAGTTATCAAGCCTCTGCTTAAAGACCTCCAAAGAAGGAGACTCCACCACACTCCTTGGCAGCAAATTCCACTGTCAAACAGCTCTTACTGTCAGGAAGTTCTTCCTAATGTTTAGGTGGAATCTTCTTTCTTGTAGTTTGGATCCATTGCTCCGTGTCCGCTTCTCTGGAGCAGCAGAAAACAACCTTTCTCCCTCCTCTATGTGACATCCTTTTATATATTGGAACATGGCTATCATATCACCCCTTAACCTCCTCTTCTCCAGGCTAAACATGCCCAGCTCCCTTAGCCGTTCCTCATAAGGCATCGTTTCCAGGCCTCTGACCATTTTGGTTGCCCTCCTCTGGACACGTTCCAGTTGGTCAGTGTCCTTCTTGAACTGTGGTGCCCAGAACTGGACACAGTACTCCAGGTGAGGTCTGACCAGAGCAGAATACAGTGGCACTATTACTTCCCTTGATCTAGATGCTATACTCCTATTGATGAGGCCCAGAATTGCATTGGCTTTTTTAGCTGCCGCGTCACACTGTTCTCGTCCATTTAGGTTGTGGGGTGATTTTGGCAAGAGGGCTTGTCAATGGGAGAGGGGGCAAGCAGGGAGGCTGCATCAAGGCAGTCTGGCCCCTTCCTCCGTCTCCCTGGTCCCCCTCCCCACTGCTGCAACCGAATACCTCCCCAGAAAGGACTCTTGTTCATGCTGTTTCCGACCCAAAGAGTGGAGGAAACTCATCATGGAGTAGATCTTCCCTCTAGGGAAGCTGAACATCATTTGAATTTGATACTCAGTGCAACTGATTCAGACCCTCCTCTCCCCCACCTCCCCAAATTCTGTTTTTGCAGCTGCACCTCTCTGCTGTTAAATTGGCAGAGCTACACAGCGATCTAAAAATTCAGGAGAAGGATGAGCTGAGCTGGAAGAAACTGAAGGCCGAAGGGCTGGATGAAGATGGAGAGAAGGAAGCCAAGCTCAGGCGCAATCTAAATGGTAAAGAATTGCTCCGTTCTGTAGACCTGGCTTTGGGTCACTGAGGCTGTTTAAAAGAAACCCCAAATAAATAGGAAAACCACCCCTTCCCATTAGAAGTTTGCATGCCTTAGCTGTCTAATGCATTCAGACAGGCTGTGGTGCAGTGAAAATTGAGGAACTGTTGGCTACAAACTCACTGATGCATCTGGTGTGAAGAGATCTAAGAGGCTGTGGGAGCAGCTTTCGTTCATCTGGCTTCTTTGCATGGAAGCTCCCCTCTGAGTCACTGCAGAACTTCCTGCAAAGTGTTTTGCAAGTTAACTGGCTCCGTGTTCTACAAAAATTCCTGAGCAAGCCCTGGCTCTAGTGGAGCTGGCTGCAAGCTGTGGGCTGCTTCAAGTTCAGCTCTTGCCTGAGCTTTCTTTCTGCTAGGTTTTCCCAAGTAGAGGCAAATGTCCCATTGTCTGTCTGGCCGGCTGCTTCTGGGCGTTGCTTTGCTGAGTCAGACCGAAGTCCCTTTAATCCAGGATTCTGTCTCCCATAATGGCACGTTAGATGCTTATGGGGGCAATGGGCTGCCCCCTGGAAAATGACCAGTGGTCCACTAATTTTGGCTTTGCCCACCTCTCGCAAAGTGAACAAACAGGCCTGGCAGATAAGGGTCCCTGAATATTTTTTGATCTTGCTTCTGATATACAATAAAAAAAAGGTTGTTGGCTTTTAAAGTCCAACTCCCCACCAAGGGACCTGGTACCCCCCCCAAGTTCATTATCAGTCAGAAAAGAATCATTGGAGGCAGAAAGCAAGGAAGGTCTTTATTTTTCTGTTGCAACAGAGTCCCTCCCCCCAGAACTTGCAAGGAGGTGAGGACCCAGAACAAAGGTGTGTAGCAACTTTCAAAGGCTTTATAAATTGCCCAGTCCCTTAGCCAAAGACCAGCCAAAAGCACCATGCACCACAAAAATGGGTTGCACATGTAACTCATGCCAAGCTGAGAGCTCAGGTTTCAGCAACACATTTGCAAGTCTGAGATTTGAACAATACCAGTCCCTTGTTTTTCCTGGCTTGCCAGAGCATCTATTGAAATGTTGCATACACAGGTACAGAATCTATTGACATAAGACTGGGTCCCATTCCTAACAAGATGTCTGTCTATTAACAGGGCTTCAGACTTTCAAATATAAAGACTGCTGGCTGTGGAGGAATGGTTTTAGCAAGGACTTCACTTCCTTCTGTCTGTTTGGAAGTGGGTCTCACAGTTCAGCTGGAGGCTAAAGATGGCCTTGCTTTTGCTCTCTGAACTGTCTAATACACTCAAATAAAGTCTCTCTTTCCCCAGAAAACATTTCTTAAATTGTTGAAGGGTGAAGGATCGGGGGGGGGTTAGGGGGAGGGGTGCCTGCTATGTGTGTGTTCCTTGAAATTCGTCCAACCCTTCTGTTGCCCCTCCAGTGATTCTGGCCAAGTATGGAATGGATGGGAAGAAAGACGCGCAGCTGGGAGACACAAACTACCTCAAAGACAGCCTGGAGAATGACGTGCTCGATGATCCCCGGCTGGAGAAGCTCTGGAACAAGGTCTGCCTTTGAATGTGCTTTGTTTTTGCTGGGTGGGGGGTGGTCCTGTTGTGTCCACAATGTCAGCAGGTGTGTGGATCCAGCCCCTGAATTTCTAGTCTGCCAGCACAGGGAGAAGCGATCAGCAGTTGAGAGCCAGTGTGGTGTAGTGGTTAAGAGCAGTAGACTCGTAATCTGGTGAATCGGTTTCGCGTCTCCGCTCCTCCACCTGCAGCTGCTGGGTGACCTTGGGCCAGTCACACTTCTCTGAAGTCTCTCAGCCCCACTCACCTCACAGAGTGTTTGTTGTGGGGGAGGAAGGGAAAGGAGGTTGTTAGCCGCTTTGAGACTCCTTAAAGGGAGTGAAAGGCGGGATATCAAATCCAAACTCTTCTTCTTCAGTTGGGGGGGCATTAAACCCTAATGCTGTACCTGCAGATTTCCCCCCTGCAAATGCAGAGCCCCCCCCGAAAGACTCACATCTGATTCCAGAGCTCGGCTGTAGTGATGATAGATAGATAGATAGATAGATAGATAGATAGATAGATAGATAGATATCAAGGGGAACCATCCATTTTTGGAGCATTCTGGCCTCCCCTAATTCTGCCCTGAAGATGCCTCCCAGCCTAGGTCTTGCAAGGGAAATTCATCTCTGACGGATAGTGACCTTGGGAGACTCGTGAGTCCTTTAAGAAGGGGAGTGGGTCCAT